ATTATTATGATTTTCTGAAAAACTATTCTTGACCCACAGCACTCATTTACACTCACTGGATTAGAGAAAACAAGTTTTTCCCATTTCACCACTCTGCAAGGTAAAAAAAAAAGTTCAAATAATGGTTTATCCCCCCACCTAATACCCCAAGTGAGTTTAAACCTCTAAGAGAAACAATCACTTCCACCTAAACTGTGTTGTTGTCAATCAGAATGGAGTCATGAATGAACGAAGGACACGCTCTCAGTGGACAGTCTGATTGGACAGAAGATGGAGTGCTAACGGAGTAGGGGAGTGGTGGAGAAGGGTGGGGTGGATGATGCACAGAGCACAGAGAGCCTCAATGACGTAGCAGGAGACCGAGTGCTGAGAGAGGTGGAGAAAAAGAGAGAGGGGGATGTAACGACAGAGAGGAGCATAGAATGCTTGAAAGCACGCTACAGTACACCTCATTGTTACCCAAGAGAGTGCACACACCATGACTGACTAGAAGAGAGAGCAGAGAGACAGGGAGAGTGATCTCCTACCTCCATCTGAGTAAGTATTGCTTCCTCCTCTTAATCTGATCTGTTAACTGCAGGAGGCCTCTTAAATGCCTACTAAAACTACTTCTGCACATGCTTTTTAATAGAAAATAGGATTCCTACATTTTATATTGTGCAGAAATATGTTATATTCTATACTCTGTCTTTTTTTATAGACTCAAAGTTCAGGGGAATTTGAAGAAAGTAAAGCATGGATTCATTTTGATGTAATTTGACCAAATGTGATGCAGATCTAAATTATTTGCCCCCGGCACTGACATTTCCATAGAAAGTCTCACTTGCTCTGAAACAGAAATGGCATTTTGTGTTGTGTGGCACGGGAGCAGTGGTGGGAAACTGTGGGTGCACTGGCTCGTGTTTTCTCCAGCAGTCAGGGGAAGAAGTGCATTTGGGACCGCTAGGCTTCCTGTGCGAGGTCAATTAAATACTGCATGAGACAGAGCACTAAAAGCCTGTCCCGTGAGGAGCAAAGTGCTTTGTGTTTGTGTGTGTGTGTGTGTGTGTGTGTGTGGGGGGGGGGGGGGGGGGGGTGTAGGGTAGTGTGTGTGTTAGAACATAAGTGTGCTAGATTTGATGAAGCAGCAATGTTGAGAGGACTGAAAACCCTTATCCCAACATTAAGATCTTGGTTAAAAACTCTTGTTAAATGAAAAAAAGTGGGTCTTATACTTAGATAAATGACTCGTCTCTAAGATATGGAATGGTTAAAAAAAAGTAGGGCGCCATTGCATTTTAATAAGGCTGACATTCCTACAGTTAGCTCAGCCCACAACTTAAAATTCACCAATTAGACCTGACTCAAAACGAGAGCCCAAATCAGGTCATCCCGGAACAAGCGTGTTTTTTAATAAAGCATCTGATGCAGTCCTGCACTGTACTCCAGGTAGACCGCTCTCTGGGCTCCAAGCTCTCTGTTCTTTGAAGCAGTTTGGTGAAGTCAGGTTGAGCGATTCCCAGGAGCAGGAAGAAGCTACAAATACACAGTGTTACCAGAAAGGCCTGGGACAGTGAGTGTGAAGGAAAGAGATCCCCAACCAGTTCCGCAGCCTCCTTCTCTTCTCACTACATCATATGAAAGCTTATTTTCCACCCAATATGAAATGAGAATCCTTTCCATCATCATGCCTCGCTGTAGTAGCAATTCTATAACAGCTGCCTGTTTTACAGGTTCCAACAAGCCTTTTTTATTTATTAAAAAAAAAACATCTTGTGACTCATCCAAAAACAGCTGGCGAAGAAGTGAGGACGGAAATAACTTGGAAGTAAAATGGCTGCAGGGAGAGCATATTCTGAAGTTACATGAGAGCAGGAGGAGGGTGGAGCTGCTGAGGACAGTGTGGAGCATCAATCTGGTCGGCTCTGGTATTGATCCATTCAGCTCTACTCTAGTTTCACTCCTCCCTGCAAGGCTCTGAAACATCAACCTCTGGCAGAGATGCTGCCTCAGCTCCTGCTGAATTTAGGAGCCTTTTCCCAAGTTTAAAAGCCTAAGAAGCAGACTTCTAAGTGCATGACTTTTTTATTGGCAGATCTCAAGTTGCTTCTCAACCTTACAAAATTTTTACTATAATACTTAAGAGAGGAAAAACGGGTTTTCATTTGTGCATCAATACATTAGACTTATATGAAATAAAAAAGTTCATAAAAGTACTTTTTCCTGGCTAATATATTAACAGACTGAAAATGGTGGGATTACTTATATGCTGGGAGGAATTCATTACTTCAGTATTAATACAAAATTAAGGCAAAAATGTCAGATGTCGCGACATGGTGTTTCAGAACTTTTTAGAAGATCCACAAATAAGCAAACCATCGAATGTTTTTTTATTACTCCCTTTTACTGAGTGCAAAGATTTGAAATTACTTAAATATAATACATTGCCATGGCGTTTGCTAGAGTTATTTGCTGAGTCATGTGTTGGTTGTGGTGAAAAGAGACATTGAATGCTTGGAGAAATCTATTCCAATGCTTGGCTGATTTGAAACTAAATTAAAAATTTTCCACAGATTAGCTGGTAATGCACACATTTTCTGCTTCAATATTCCAGTCTTTAAATAAAATGAAAGATAAAACTATTTCAGACTTTACTTTTCTCTCTTAAAAATTATTATCCTGAGCTTGTGTCTTTATGATTTTTTTTCTATTGTGTAAAAAGATTTTTTGTTCAGATTCTTTGCAGTAAAGAACTGAGAAAAGGTTATAATCAGTTGAAATTTTACCTACATAGATAACCTTTTTGCTTAAAAGGGTATTTTCAAAACTATTAGATAGATAAAGTAAACAAATATAGGTTTATTTTCCACATGCTTTTCCATTTTATTAGATATTTATTTTGCCTGGAAACACTTTCCATGTTTTATTCTCAGCACATATTTCCAGTTAGCTGATCATCAATAATGCCAAGCCAACTATCTCCATTTCCTGTGTAAATTATCATTGGCCACTATGTATAGAAAAACAGTCATGATGATGGTGTCATGCCAATATCTATATGTTGTTTTTCAGGCCATTTGAAATGTTTAAAATTACTTTGGCACAAAGTTCAGTCCAAATTAACCTTTTTACTTTTCCCTTTTTTTCTGCTGTACAAACAGGACTGTATTAAAAATAGTTACCATCCAGAAAAAGCATGTGATTTTCACAGGCTAAACAAAAATATCCACCTTGACCACTGTGCATTTTTTAAAAGGGGAAGCTGTCTTTGCTGCAGAGTTTGTATAAATGTCTTTCTGGTTTTGTCTTTTCTTGTTGAGTTCACACTAAGACAGACATTCCAGCTTCAGAGCAACTGTAACTGAGCCAACCTCAAATCTGCTTTGCTCCTTCTTGAGGGAATTCGCGGAAACTCAGTGAACTTTGACAATTCTCAGCCATCTTCTCCCCACTGCCAGTCCCCCAGTCTGTGGTGGAAGGAGGAGTATGAGGCAGAGAAGAGCTATATTTAGAACCACCAAACACCGAAGACATAACATGTTATTCTATCATCTTCTGTTCCAATGATTTCTTTGTAGACTTTGTATGTTTTCAGTTCTTTTAATCATTTTTTCTCCCCCATTTTAGTTGGAAACAGTTGTGATAATTAGCATCAGAAAAGGTAGATCATTAGAAAAACCACATCCCTTGTGTTTCAGATATGTGTTGCTCCAGTTTCCAGTTTTCCTTTGTATTCTTTCTAATATTGCCTCTGCTGGCCACTGCCTGCAGTTTCTCAATAGTTGCCTTGTGTATTGTGTACTAATGATGAAAATAAAGCCACCATATCGTCTCTGATCCAGAGGGATCTGGGAGTTGTTGCAATAATAATATGCTGCTGCTGTATGTGTGTGTGAGAGTGCTTGCCGGCTCACTTCCCTTTAATTTTGAAAAGCCATGCAGAAATGTACTGCCCCGAGATATTTTCTGCTAAAAGCCTTGCTGGAGTGCACTTAATTCCTGAGAAGCCAAAGTTAAATGAGAGTGAGAGAGTGGTGAATAAATGTGACTATTTTCTTCAGCATGGAGCCCAAAGTGGAGGGTCACTTGGTGCCTGAGAAACCCGGTCCTGCCTAGTACTTTAAGACCGTTTTCAATAACTGCTACCTCACTCCCAGCTTATTTAACACTTCTGATGGACCGTACACGGCTGTCTGCTGACTCACAGCAGCATTTCTGTTTTGAAGTCTCATGCATCACTTTGCCTTCATTAAGATGTTGCAGGGCTGGCAGACTGAGTACTCGCCCTATGACCCTTTTCCTTTTTAGTATCTCCTAAACCATGACATTAAACTATGTGTATTTTATAAACAAAACAAGCAGTTAAAAAAATGGTAATCTTTAATTGGATTTCAAAGCATTTTGCTAATACTGTAGTCCCCCAATAGAACACTGTTCAAGGTATTAAAAGAAATGTCTCAAAACAATAGCATCTAAAAACTTTTTTTTAACAGATCTGTGTGTAAAATAAAATAAGTACTGTCAAATTAAAATATAGATGGGAGTTTTGTTGGCTGTTTAGGTCTAAAAGCTAATTAGCTGTTATGAACTTAAGAAGATGTTGGGTTCCTTAAGGCTATATTCCTCAGCCACCTTCTTTGAAATAACTACATACGGTACTCTTCTTAGATCAGATTAAGAATCACTATATATCATACAAATGCTGATGTCGTAACTTTATTTCATGACATGACCACAGTTAATTACAGTCATTGTCTTCATCCACGTTATAAATCAATTGGATAACATTTTCTCCAACTTAATAAAGTTAGTTAACCACTGAGAAGATATAACTTAAGACCTTTAACATTAACGCAAAGTCTGCTGCTGTAGCTGTACTACTACTATAGTTCTACTACTATTAGCCTGAACACATAAAATCTAATGACTTATACTTTTTTTTTGCCGCTGTCCTCCACTAATCTGGGACAGGGCTGGGCAGAAACGCCCAGTCTTTTGCCTCCCCAGACACTTCCTTCAGCTCCTCTTGGGGAAAGCCTGGGGTGTTCCAGGGTCAGCCAGGAAATATAGTCCCTCCAGTGTGTCCTGCACCATCCCCTGGGACACATCTCATGGGATGTGCCTGAAACACCTCCCGAGGAATGCATCCAGGAGGCATCAGACACAAATGTCAGAGCCACCACAGCTGATTCCTCACCTGGCAATGGAGAAGCAGCTCTACTCCAAGCTTCTCCCAGATGGTTGGTTCCTCACCCTATCTCTAAAGAAGTACATGGCCACTTGCAGAGTAAGCTTATTTCAGCTGCTTGTATCTGAGATCTCATTCCTTCAGTTATTACCCAGATTTGATTATCATAGGTCAGGATAGGAATGTGGACTGACTGAAAGAATCCAGAGCCTCCTCTATTGGCTCAGCTCGCTCTTCTCCACAACAGACCATTACAGCATCTGCATTAAGCAGATTATCCTTCTGAGACATCTGACGATCTCTCACTCCATTCTCCCCTCACTTAGGAAAAATATCCTGAGACACTTGAACTCCCCCACTTAAGAAGGGAATTCCCCTCCAACCTCAAGAAGGCACATCACCCAGTTGAGAAACCCGGACTCGGACTTAAAGGAGCTGAACTTCCTCCTGGCCGCTTCATATTTGTCTGCAAACTGCCCCAGCGCATGCTATAGGTCCTGCCAGGAAGGAAGGAGCCAGCAGAACCACATCAACCTCAACCAAACAGAGATGAAATCCACCGGTCCTCAAACTGGACCTCTCTGGCTTTGGGTGCACCTTGAAAACCATGTCTAGAAAAGTAATGAACCCGACTGGTGCGGACAGCTCAGCTGGAGTCCAACATGCATCAGAAATAGGTCCAACTTCATGCCACAATGGGGACAGACTTCGGCTTAACTTTTATAGAGACCAGATGGCCTTTAGTAAATGGCCATTGACCCAAATATTCCTGGAGAGGCCCCACAGGACACCAAGAGGAATATGGCTGATGGCTTCTCTAGGTGGACAGGTTCGGCAAACTTGGAAAAACTCTTGAGCACCTTGTAGGTGGTGATGATGCCTTGCAGCTGGCATCACAGACGTTAGAATCTAGCTGCAGACATCAGTCAAAAGCCCCATTTACACTTCCCTTTTGAAACTGTGCCGAGATCGGTCCGAGCACCGTAACTGAGATAACTGTTGAGTGTAAATGGCACAAACCAAACCAAGGCAAACTGGTACTAGTTCAACAGTAGGGCTTGGCGTGGTTCACTTCTGGCACGGTTCTCAGATAACAAAGAGCACATGAGAAGACTGTGTCGTCTCCTTACACTCAGCCTCCGTAATTAGGAAATTTCAGACATTTATAAAAATACTAGCTTCCCTACCGTGCCATATAATTTCCAGTGATAATTCTGCTTTGCAGTGTGATGAACCTCAATGTCTGTCATTGTTTCCTGCGTCTGTAAGCGCTGATTAGAATATCATTTGTCCTATCCACTTCCCAAAAGTTGATCAAGTAAATTCACCAAAGGCTGTCTTCTTCACCTGACTCTTCGCAAATGACAAAATATCACAATGAGAATAAAACATAACTTTCTGAATGCTACAGGCGCCACCATGTTGGTTTGCTTGTTTACATCTAGAGAACAGTAGTACCGTAGATGGTAACTAGGGGGCGAGGAACCGTGCTAGCGTGGTGTGTAAATGGCCATAAGGAACCGAGCACTGCATGGCTAACTGATCCAAGCCGACAAGGATCGGTTTTCAGATGATAGTGTAAATGGGGTAATAGTCAGCAGCTCCCTGCACCCACTCTAGCGAAGAACTGCTTCTAGGCCTACCTACATTTTCTGGCCATGATATTTCTGAACTTCCAGACTCAAATTTCTACCTCTGCAACCGCCTTGGCAGTGGCTCACTTGGCCCTATGTTACCCACTGCCTCATCAGCCTAAATACATCAAACCTAATCAGAGGTGTCAAGTAACGAAGTACAAATACTTTGTTACTGTACCTAAGTACACTTTTTAGGTATCTATACTTTACTCCACTACTTATTTTCCTTCCCACTTCTGACTTCTAGTCTTCTGACTTCTACTTTAAGTAGATTTTGGAGCACATCGTTTTTCACTTTTACTTGACTAAATAGGTCCAGTTGATACTTCTACTTTTACCAGAGTGTTTTTAAACTGCAGTATTTATACTTCTACTTAAGTAACAAATGTGTGTACTTTTGACACCCCTGAACCTAATTCAAGCTGTCATTAACAGTGGTTAAATTATTGTAACAGTGTCTTCTAAAGATTCTATATAAAAATAATGCTAAATCAAACAGGCAGCTGCAGCTCACCCAAAATATTTTGCTAGAGTTCTTATCCAGACCATAAAAATGGCTAATATTACCATTGGGGTAATGTTATTACTTCAGGAGCAATGGGCTGACACATTGATTAGCACTCTGGGGGGCATTCTGTGTTTTAGGGCCTCAATCTTGAACCTAAGTTTCAAACCAGTCCTCTTGTATCCTTTCCTCTATAGAAACATCCTGTTCTCTAACCACTAGGTCAGCTTCCCCCCTTCAGATCAAACACTATTCCATCAATTATTTCTCAATGTCATGTTTAGATATTTTTTCTGTTTATTTTCATTTTACATTTTACTCTTCCATTTCACTTTAATTGCATTTTCCATTTCGCTGGGTGTTCTTGTATGTCAGGGTACAATTCAGGTACAAATTTGCCTTGGCCTGAATCTCGACGCACTCTTTATTTCCTGTGAAAATGAATCAGACTTAATATGATCTCAAGGATTGTGATATTTCTATAAGATTTGAGGCAAGACTTTCACTGATATGTCCACCAAGATGTAGAGAATCCCCCACAACATCAGCAGTATGTAGGAGTGTACACAACAGTACTGCAGTCAGGGCATCAATTTTCTATGGGAAATTAGTATTGAGGCAGCCAGCAATGGTTGTGAAGCACTTATCCTGAGCGTGGCTCCCTCCCTCACTATGCTCCCCTTACTGTACCACGACTGGAGGGGAGGAGGTTTCCACTGTTTTTCTGTGCCATGGGGAGAGGAGAGCGCTGGAAGTAGAATCATGTCTGCCTCCGACTCGAGTGCCACAGGACTGATCAACAAGGTATGCTCTTATTGCTACCGCCTTCTTTGAAAGACAATCTCCCTGCATGCAAAGGCAGCCTTTTTCATCCACACGACTTCTAAATGGCTGCTCAGAGACATTCAGGGGACTTCACTTTTATCAGAAGTGTGCACGGGTTTAGTCACTTTGCCTGCATCTCCCCTTTTGACTCTCTCTCCTCTCTCATTTTCTTCACCCAATGTTGACATGCTGCACTGAACACATACAATTTGTTATTCATTTTAACGGAAGTCAGATGAAAATGAAGGATTACGCTGATGTTATGACTCATTGGGTGGCTCATCTGTTGAACATTATCAACTTGGATCAATAGTTTGTTTTAAAACTCCTTTCTCTGGGCTATGAGTGTGTTTTAAATCAGTGTTGTAACAGTGTCCAACAGGACTCTGACAGAGACATGTAAGTCTGAATCATTTAGCTTTTTTTCAGTTATTTATTGTTTTTGGCTGCTCACCGGATAACACAAACGACATATGGTGTTTCTGTTTGTTTGTTTGTGTGCGCTTGTATGTGTGTGTGTGTGGGTATCTTTCAGCTCAGGTTATTATTGATAAAATATATGATTTTTTTCCCATTCTATCCAATTTCTAATTTCTTTTAGGCTTTTACATTTTAATTATCATGAGATGGTATTAAGAGTATTAGTCCACCTTAGACTATTGTTTAGTTCTGTAATTTCATTGATCCTATCTATGTGTCTTAGCAGTATTTTATAGCTGCTGTATAACTGCAGCTTATTAAAAACTTTTAACTGAAGCAAAAACTCAGCCAGAAGGTTGGGTGGGTGTATGGGGTATTCATGTGGAGCTGTGTTTTATAGCTATTTGTGGAGTAAATGTGCTGCCCTCTGCTGGTGGGGATCTGCAATGTAATCACGTGTTTCAGTCTCTAATGGGAAGACCAGCATGTGAGGGCTTTCTAGTTATCAGCCTGTTTTTTGTTTTGTTTTTATCTCACAGAGGTATACCATGGTTTCTAAGTACAGTAGATTTGTGTTTTGTGTAAAAAGAGAATACATAGATGTGTTAACAATCTTTGTAATCATCCTAGCATTAGGGTTAATGTCATAAAATGGAGGAAGAGAGACAGATTGAGGCAAAAGTACAGCCCTAGCATCCACATAGAAGAAAACCAATAAATCTGTAGTTTGAACTGTATACTTAAGCCCATTCAAGGACTTTACAAGTATGTGTTAACTTAAAAATAGTTTTGGAGATTTTACTTTCTGAAATCATTTTACACCTTCTCTGAAGTTGATACAGACTGTATTCCAGTCAAATTTAATTCTATTCTAAAATACTTTAACAATCCCAAAGGGAAATTAAAGTTTGAAGTAACTCATAGGGATTTTTTCAAAGAGTGTGTATATGCTGATTGCTAGGCAGTAAGGATCTTCTGTAGTGGTAGTAATGACATTTTGTCTGCTCATGTTATAGAAAAATGAAAACTGAAGTCAACAGTTATGTTTTTTTCTCGAAGTGCAAAATGTTTTCCACTTTCTGTTTTAATCTGTCATAGGCAACTGTAGTATATATCATTAGTTTTTTGTTCAACGATAACTTATAACCATAATGAAGTTGTCTTTTTATGTCTTAGTAGCAGTTTTTTTTCCCAGAAACCCTTTTTTTACACAATGATATACTAATTTAATAACTTTATTTTTTCTTGACTTAAGTAGAAACCCCTTTTACAATTATTGGGAGACTTGGTCAAAACTTCCAGCAATAAGTATTTTGTGAGGAAACAAAGTGACTCTAAGATGCCACTCTTTGTCGCAAATCCCTAAAAGATGGTTTTAGGGATTTGTTTTAATCTTCCTTACCCTTTTCCTCATGGGTTTCTGATAGGGAAACAAAAACATGTTTTTTCAGCTGTGTGTTTCTTCTGTGACTCACTTTACAGTGTTGCTTTACACTGTGTTCCTCCTCATATAAAGTTGAAAAATACCTTTGAAAAACTTCTCAAAGAGCTCTCTGAAAATCCCCTTCCACTGACCACAGCCAGTTAAAAAAAAGTTCTGCAGTATTTATTCCAGCTACATTTTCTCATTGTTGGCATAGTTTCCATTATATTTTCTACACACCATAATCCTATGTGTTCTGTCTATTTTAAGAGCATTTTGCAAAGGTTGGTCATAAAATGGGACTCTTCTTGGTATTTTGATTGACAGCCGATATGGTTCTGTGGAAATAAATGCAGTTCTACTCTATTTGCACTTCATAGTAGCTCCTGTCAAATATATTTTTTTGGCTTTTGTTTGAACTGGTGAAACATCGTTACAATTTGTGGGGGACCAGGACAAAGGTGAAAATGTTGGCCCACATTGACTGGCAGTAGCAGCAGTTTGGACAAACGATTTCCTGAACGTGGACTGGTGAGCTTTTTTTCAAATGGCTGACTAACAGGCCACCTAATGAAGAAGGCTTTAGTTTCTCACTGAAAGTCCCAGCCTCCATCCTCTCTTCACATTGGTTGGTATTTATTTCCTCTTGACATGTGATTTAAAGTTGTTTAGGTTCATTGCTTGTTCCTTGATGGTGACCTCATTGGGCTGGGACATGACCAGTTGTGGCTGCTGCTCTCTGAAACAGGGGAGAGTCAATAGTGCTGCTTAAATCCAAACGTAACCTTTTCCATCCACAAATGTTGAAAGACATACAACACATTAATACAACAGGTGAAAATAGTAGTTGTGAAGTGCTCTTAAAAATAACAAACTCCAGAAACCACAGCAAGTGTTCAGCACAATGCAACTGTTCTGACTGACTGATTGCTTTTTCCTCTCCTGGCTGAGTCTTATGATGGAAAACCCACCCTCTGTCTGTCTACTGTCAGTCAAAAGTCTTTATGCATATTCTGCCAATCAGCATTGAGCAGCCAGCTTCAAGACCTGCCTCTGGCCCGCCCCTGCTCCATAGATCCCATGGCCCAATCCAACTACCCCTTCACTATCAAGTGTTACTCCCAATGAAGTCACGCTTGCAGTAATGGAGGGCGCTTTGATAGAAGGTGAAGTGTATAAATGAAAAAGGGATGCTCTCTTCCCTCAACCAGAAAAGGATAGCAGTCGTTGCTATGACAACAGTGATGTCAAATGTGTTTGGCTGTAGCTCTGTTGCGCAGGTTGACATGAAATCAAACATTAGCACCTATGAGAAGCTTAGTCTAACGGGAAGTGACGGATTTTTGCGTGTTATCCAATCAGGGCCCTTCTTTCTCCAAACATACTCATGATATAACGTGCATTTTGCAGATATTTATTGCAGCTTAATGTATGAAATTTAAAAAAGCTAATTTCACCAATTATTTAATGAAATATACAGAGGAGGTTTAGCCTCCCTAGTATTCAATGAGACATCGCCACGGGACACATCGTTTGTCATAAAAACGAAGTAGTCCTGCAGGTGAGAACATGGATTTTGAGACTCTGGTCGCTTAGTAAATTTTGTCTTACCCAAAGCTACTTACCATTATCTTACTTGAACTTATTACTGAACATTTTGTAAGTGCAATTCAGCTGCTACCAGCTAGGTGTTGTATGGAACTATGCATCTGGTCACATGTTGCTGCATTTCACAGTGACATCTTGTCACATCTTGCCCATGCATGTAAGAAGCCAAAAGCATGCCTAATGTACGCTTTGAGACATGACACAACAAAAATGATCAAACTTGTGAATATTTAGCCTGATAAACCAGAATAAATGTGAGATTAACTATGTAATTTAGTCTGGCCCCGATGAATGAGACATCGGAAGATTGTTGATGAGAACAACCCGTTGTTTTTCAAACCATGTCTGTGCCTATTGGTCAACGCTCTGACCAATGAGCGCAACTGATTGTGACGTAGAAAGCGAGACAGAAAGCTGGTGGGGGAGTGTAAACAAACAGCCTGTTGGTTAAACAGCGAATACGTCCTTCTTAAAAATAAATGAGCATAGAGCCTCTTCCTGCTCACGTTTCAATGAAAACCCCAAGTCTAATCCTTCCAAAACTGATTCCAAAGCTGAGTCAAATGAGAACTGTTCAATAGTTGTTGCCATCTTCCTTGTTGTGCTTTCTCGAGAGTTACCGTACGCAGCTTTGTCGTCACGCCCTCATAACCCTTTCCGCTTTGCATCCAGAAATTCAAAATACATCTCTGCTTTGTGATTGGCCCGCCAGTTCTGGGGCCTGGGGCATTGATCGAGGCAAGACCAAACTTGCAGGCAAAAATGATTTTGGCCACTGGGGCTAGTTTACTAGGCAAGTGAATATTGCTTACAGACCAAAAAGTCCAGACCAGAAGTCACCGACATCTGATTAAGCAGAATTTAAGCAATTCATTAACTATACTAAATGATAAAAAACTAAAATATTAGCAGAGTCGTGTGCACCACTGGCAGCAAGATAAAGATCCCTTCTAACCCAACCCTCTTTGTCAAAATTCAAGTTTTACTGATATTTTAAAATTCTTACCTAACCCTAGATATGGACATGTTCATTAAGAAGCGTTTTCCCTTCACTTATAAAGACAAAAACACATACGTATCGTACTTACATGGGATGCTTTATAATCTTTTCCATTTTGAGGAGTTGCGAATAAAAATTAGTGTCAGTGACACAATAAAAATATACCCAAGGGAAACAAGTAGTGACTAATCAATCACGACTTCCTAAAAACTCAAAGAAACTTGAAAAAAATAAATTAGATATTGCAAAGTGATTTGGTCAAACTTGTCTTGCCAGGCCTTTTCAAAATCGAAGTTATTGTGACATCTGATTTTGCAAAAAGTATGGTCACGGAAGAATTAAAACTTTAAGACTGTTTCTCTGCCAACAGTAATGATATGCTGCACAAAAGAATGATATTTTATTGTTTTATAATGGTGTACCCTCTATGATCGCATCCTGTTGGACAATGGGTGGAAACTAGCCTTTGGCTACAATGTTTACATCCATCTTTACATTCATGTGTTCTTTTTCATGTGTATTCATTAACATGCACAATCCCAATCAAATAAGGAAACTACCAACAAAGGCACTAGATCTATGTCTTAAAATCAAAGTCTGGATCAATTTCATGATGTGTGATCCAGGTAGGTGAGGCAGTTTAATCAAGATCAGATTGGGATTCATGCCAAAAAACAGAAGAGCATTTTAAGCTTGTTATTTGTTTATTTACTACCCTGATTATCATATATCTATTATATAAAGATAATTCCTAATCTCCTGCTCTATATTTGTATTGAAACTGTTTTTGTGGACATGAATAAATAATAAAGATATAGCTGAACAGGAAGAGAAAGAGACTAAAAAGTAAGGGGTCAGATTCTAGTAAGCCTGAAAAAACTTGATGCTCTTAACAGGCTGTATTTGGCTTTTATGAGACAGTAATTTGTGGATATGTGGGCAGTTTTACACCTAGCAAAGATTGGAATCAATTGTGCTGGGTTAGAAAATAAATGCAGATATTAGAGGATAAGTGAGGTGAGGTATAGGCTTAATATGTAATCAGTGTAATGAGTCAGTTCTCAGACTTCTTTTTTTGTCTCCCTTTAAAAAGGAACTGCTTTTTCCTTGAGCACATTTTACATATTGTATCACATTTAACAATTACTCAAAGGCACAAAGTTCTGTGGATATAAATGAAATTTATTATTCATGTCCGTTTTCTGTGCTAAAATCCATATTCCCTTTATCTATTTTCATACCGTTTTCTTCTTCAGCCTTTGGGTTGTAGATTGAACTTCTTCCAATAGCCATTGTGTCTGGGTGAAGTGGATAAACAGAGAAGGTTGTGTTGGTTGTTAGTGTTGCAGTACTCATGTACATCATGTTCCCATGGGAAGAGCTGCTTTGGAAAGCTGCAGGAAAGGACAGGCAGGTGCAGGGACAGGTGTACGACGGGGCAGACATGGCGGATATAGATTATCTGTCTGAGGCAGGATCTTTGCTGTTTATCTTCTCTTCTAATTAATTGTAGACAATTCCTTCCATGTGATATGGATTAATCTCCTCCTCTACTTCAGAGAGTTTAATTTGAACATGACCTTGTTCTCTTTACACCTTTCTTCAGAGTTCAGCCGATTCCTACACTAGTCGACCCTCTGATTCCGACCTGTCCCTGGAGGAAGACCAGGAGGCGTCTCGGCGTGAAGCCGAGCGCCAGGCTCAGCTGCAGCTGGAAAGAGCCAAGGTAAGAGGCCAAGAATCAAAGATTCCTCTCATATTTCTCTTTATTTCCATGGTAGTATCTCTGTCTATGGATCCAGAATATTGCTGCTAAGTTTATATACTTGTCCGCAACAGTCCAAGCCAGTAGCATTTGCAGTGAAAACCAATGTGAGTTACTGTGGGGCCCTTGATGAAGATTGTCCAGTCCAAGGTGCTGCTATTAATTTTGAAACCAAAGACTTTCTGCACATAAAAGAGGTGAGAACAGTTAAGATTTTAGATAATATTCAATAGCAAGTAAATAGTTGAAATACGGCATATCAACAATTACCAAATATTTATTTGCCTGCATTTCAGAAATACAACAATGACTGGTGGATTGGTCGACTGGTGAAAGAAGGGGCTGACATCACATTCATTCCAAGCCCGGTAAAACTGGAAGCCATGCGGATAAAACAAGAACAGAAAGCAGCTGCCAGGTCAGAGTCTGCTCAGCCTTCACAGATTTATTTTCCACCTTTCTGTATTTTTAAGTATCTGTGCCCTGATTTAATATGCTCTTCTTCTACAGCTTTGGCTTGTTGAAAACTTTGTAATGATAAAATTAGTTTTTGCTCATGTGTTGAGCTAAATTTGGTGCTCCCTAAATTGCCTCCTAAGGGGATTTATCACGCATAATAAAGTTTTGCATTATGTTGCACTGCAGGAAAGGAGGGAACGCATCATCAGGAGGCTGGAGGTCCACCCCTCCATCTGCAGGTAAATGAGACTGAAGGAGCAGGACTTTGTTTTCTGTGTGCTGGAACTTGGTGGTCTCCATCAGTCAATTTGCATGCTTTATAGGGGTTGTTCATAGTGGTCAAAAGCTTATTTCCTATTTAAAGGTATACATATTTTATCTTTACGTAAGGCTGCAAAACTTTCCAAAACATGTAAGCTCAGCCAAAAAGGTTCCAAAGTAATATAGATTTAGGAGCTTCTAATATATAAGAAAATAGCATTAATAAGTAGAAATGTGGATAAGTAGCATGGATAAGAAGAAACATACTATCTGACAGATATCTATGTCAGAAAGAAAGACTAAACAGGAAAGAGGACAAGGTAGTTGTATAAAATACAATGAGTAGACCCCATCAGCATTCACAGTCACCTTTCATGAACCACATCCAAAAACTGTTCTCAAATTTATATTTTAAAACCAGACTAGAGGCAAATCTCTGGAAATGCTGAAATTCCACAATCTTATTCCGATTGTGCAGATATTCCATAACAACATTTAAAATATCACACAATAGGTGCCATGACGACACTGTAGGGTTTTTGGACGTCTCTTTATTATCTAGGGATCTGTATTTATGTTAAACCTGATCTGATGACTAAACCTTGGTCTGATGGCCAGTTGTAGTTTTTCTGACAACATACTCTCAGCTTATAAACTATTTTGTATAACAAATTGTTAAACTGTGTACATAATTTGAAACTTCTTTCTGAATTGCTGCTGCAGTGTTTGGTCTCAAGTCTCATTCAACTCTATTCATGGTAACATTTTAGCCAAATTAAGAATACATACATGTTAGGTTTTCAAATTGCATTTTCATTGCATTAAATAATCCTTCCTTCCTTCCTTCCTTCCTTCCTTCCTTCCTTCCTTCCTTCCTTCCTTCCTTCCTTCCTTCCTTCCTTCCTTCCTTCCTTCCTTCCTTCCTTCCTTCCTTCCTTCCTTCCATCCAACAGCTGTCCATACATTTGAATAAGATTCCTGGAAATGTACATCTTTAAAAAAGTGGACATTAAAAATGTAGAAGATTTAAGTTTGGACTAGAGGATTATTTAGGCACATCACTGTGACTTTGTCATTTAAAAAGGGTATTGCTTAATGTTGATTTTGTTTGTCCTAAAAGCCAAACAGAAGCAGAAACAGGTATGTGTAATTGTTTGTTTACCTCATTGTTTCTGTATCATTTAACATGCAGTCAACAGTCTATCTGCAAACGCATACCCATCTAACTTTTACATTTGCAGCAAGTTATATCATGGAGTGGGCCTGCATTCACATCAGTATTTCTGTATTTTTCCATCCTCCACCCCTATCTGTGTTTATGACCTGGGCAGACTGAGCATGTTCCTCCCTATGATGTGGTTCCTTCCATGAGGCCAGTGGTGCTGGTGGGCCCTTCACTGAAAGGCTATGAGGTAAGTTGATTATCCCCAGAGTAATTTGATGTCCTTTCACACATTTGTCCATATTAAGATTAGATGTGCTTCTAACATGGAGCATCAGTTGTTCATTGGAAACTTATTATTCCCATTAATGTCTTTTCTTTTTATACCTAAGGATCATTTACATGCTGATTCAGAAAAGTGCGGCATTTAAAAAAATCATAAAACCTTGAAAGTAAGGGAAAATACGTTTATTTATATATTTAACATTTCAATGACAAGACAGTTTAAAGTATTGCATTTGTAGCGGACATAAGGGAAGAAAACAAAGAGAAAATTACCCGAATAGCAGTGTTCCAACAAAGTTTAAAAGGTAAAAAAATAAACCACTGGACTGTGTTTTCCAAGGTTGAAGATGTTTCGCTTTCCATCCAGGAAGGGGTGGGGGGTGGGGTTCAAACCTCTGTGTTTGTTTTTTTACAGTCCAAAAACAATGATACGCTAAAGTACCGCAACTCAAGCTGAAGCCCGCTTCCCTGTGTTAAGACCACCCACAAGCTCCTGATTAGCCAGCTGTCTTTTCTTGTATGATTGCCTGTCACCACTGTCACTCCAGAGAAGTTCACTTTACAAACATCTTAGATTGTTATATAGCTGAAGTTAGTTATATTAAAAAATACTTGCATCCATGGCCACAGACAAATGCTTTCTTATGGCTTAGAAAATATGCAACATAAAAAGGCTTTTGTTTGTGCCACTGTATAATCCTTGAACTCAAACCATACTCCAGACATTTTGAATTGAGAAAGCTTCCTGGAAGGGAAGCAAAACCTCTTCAAGCTTGGAAAACAAAGTCCAGTTGTTTGATTTTCAGCTTTTTTAACTTTGTTCGACTGACTATGTTCTGGATGACTGTGAATCTTCACTAACATATTAGCAGTGTTGGACTGCAAACTTCATCTAGTGATGTCTCGCTTTATAATTTAAACCCTGATGCCTTAAAAAAGAGATTTTTTTTATTTTTATGTGTCTCTTAAAATCAGGGACCAAGATTAAATATAATTTAAGTTTCATAGTTTTTCCCTGTGAGAACCTCCCAGGAGTTCAGAACCTGATATTTTTGGCAAGAATAAAACCAAAGTTAACTATTTTTTTCACCTTCCATAAAATAATGAATTCATGCGTTTTATATTTTTTGTGTATAGTCTCTTTGAACAGTACTTTCAGGCCATTATTTCTGTAACTATTTCTTAGCAACCATTTACAGGCTTCTAACAGTGCACATTATCTGGCCTAACTGAGTGGAATGTTTTGTTGTCTTTTCTGTTTTGAAGAGTATAGAGATATTGGCCTCCTGTATATATTTTTACCCAGAAAAAATGAAATAGTGGATTACTAATTAAAAGTTACCCAGACACTGTGATCAACCTAAACAGTAAAGTAAAATTTGGTGTAAGTTAGATTAGTATAATAGGAATCATTTTGGGTACCAACAAATATATAGACTTATGTTAACATATGCTATGGTTCCTAGATAAATAGAAGAACACCAACATAGATTTAGCTCTGGCGTGGCAGAGCTTAATCATTTGGGTTGCTGTTTTAGTTTAATCTGGATTTTGAGATCCGGTTGGATTTTGGTGTTTCTCCTTCATTATCCATTGAACCACAGTAATAAAGATTCCAGGTTTTTCTTTCAATGAAAAAATGTAGTGTATAACTGCCTCTTGGATCAGTTTATGTCTCCACATATAAACTGTTCATTAATAGCAAAAAGAAACATATAAAAATGTATGATAATGCATTGCTGTTTCTCTACTAAACCCTCCCATAATGAGTCTGTGGTTTGATGTGTTGAAATGCAAGGGGAGTGGTGTGTCTCTGAGCCTCTGCTTTCTCTCCGCCTTGTTTTCTTCACTGTGATCTCACACACTGCATGCCAAGCCGTCTGTATTACTGTGCATGTCTGTGAAATATTTATGCATTGCAGTGGCCATGTGATTCAGGGATGCTCCAGTGGTGAACACCAGCATGCCTCCTCCCTCTTTCTCTTCTTATCGTTCTCCCTTCTTTGCCTGTCTTGTACATATTGCATGCAGCCACTCCTCAATGCTCTTCCACATCCTTATACTATTTTCTGCACTTGTAATCCCTCTTGTGGTCACTCTGTTTCCTGGCGTTATTTTGGAAGAACAACACTGTTCAAAAGCCACTGATATTTTTCCAATTGGTAGAACAATTGTAAATATGCACCTCATATTGACATAGGGAAAAAAATCCAGAACAAAGCAATTTCAAAACATTTATTTTCTATATCTACAGCTTTAGTGGTGTCATCAACTCAGATGAGGGGTTCAGCCCTTAGTAGCAGTACATTATTCCTCCATAACACATCCGTGCTAAAGCTAGTGGAGCTCGGGTATGGGCATGAGGTTCATGGAAAGGACAATGTTAGCTGGTTACATTCTGTGCTGGAGAAAAAAACTGTTTCAGTTAAAAAAAACAACAAAACATTTTCCTCATCCTAAAGATAACAGTGGGGTTTAGAATAGGCATGGGTCTCTGGAAACTGATTTTGGATCTGACGAACTATTTCTGCTTTCATCTGGCCAGTTGTATTGATTTAATCTATTTCCAATATGAAAATAGCTCTTATAAATTATATGTTATGTATAAAAATATATATATATATTAGCAGAATGAGCATTTTTAACTACTATAAACACTTCAGGAATATTTAGACATGAAAAGGAAAAAATAACCTTGATGTCTGAGGAAGATTTAATAAGATAACAAATGTAGATGTTGGATTTTAAGGTCTTTTTTGGTGAGAAGAGCTTTACATTTTCTGCTTTTCATTGTGACTTCAAAACACTTTTCTGTTTTCTTAATCCACACCCTATTTTACAGCTCTTTTAAAATATTAGAATTTTTTTTTTATGAGACCAAAAAGCTGGAAAGTCAGAAATAATAGTTTTGCAGAGAATGTTAAGAAAATTACATAAAAACCAGGGAAAGAGAAAAGGTAGAATGCAATAATGATAGAAATTCAACAAAATTTGATTATTTAACAGATGAATAATATTACAGAGAAGTGGGTTTTCATATCCTATATTTGAAACATAAACAAGCTGGTAGTTTAAGATATTGTGTGAGGAAAGTCAGAGTTTACTACCTGACCGTTAAAGTCCCGTGTGTGCACTGTAACATTAAAAAACTTTCTCCTTCTGATACTTTGGTGTCACACCTAAGGGTTTCAAATCTCTAAACGAGGTATGACATTATTTTCTGAAGCTGTTATTATAACAGCTATTTTCTACCTTCTTTTCACTTTCTGTCTTTTAGGTGACCGACATGATGCAGAAAGCCTTGTTTGACTTCCTTAAACACCGATTTGATGGCAGGTGAGCACGGCTGTCTGCGTTATTCTCCACAGAAACACCGCGTCTCAGCTCATGGTGCTATTCTGCCTATCACATTTCATGGTGGAAAGGATACAACATGATGAGAATTTATTTTTAGCTCCTTGAGAATACAGCTTCACTCCTTTGAAATGGAACAGTTGTGGGTATGATGTGATAAGACACTCCTTCCTCAGGATCACTATTACACGGGTGACCGCTGATCTGTCTCTGGCGAAGCGGTCGGTGTTGAACAAGAAGGCCATAATGGAGAGATCCAACACCCGCTCCAGTCTCGGTGGGTAATGAGAAAAGCTTTCTTTGATCTTTTTGTGCTTAGTACAGATCAATAAAAGCTAAGAATAGATGCCTCTGCTGGATCTTGAGTTAAAAATATACTCCAGCAAATATTTTTGTGGTGTTTTGTTTGTTTTTTCTCTTAGCTGAAGTCCAGAGTGAGATAGAGAGGATTTTCGAGTTGGCAAAGTCTCTTCAGCTGGTTGTCCTGGATGCAGATACCATCAATCATCCGGCCCAGCTCCTTAAAACTTCTCTGGCTCCAATTATTGTCTACGTTAAAGTCTCCTCACCCAAAGTACAGTAATGCTTACATTTGATTCGTTAAAAAAAATCAGTCAAAACACATGTATGGTCCTTCTTTTTAGATACAGCATAGTCATAGTCTATTTAACAAGAAAATATTCATCCGGTCCAATTTTTATTTATCAGGTTAGGTTTTTCAGGGATTTGATAATACAAATTAATTCAAACCACACCCAGTACTGCAGGCAAACTATGTCTGGACTTTTTAGGCTAAATTTGAAGTAAAATAATATAATTCAACTAATTGAATCAGTTCAATAGAGAAATATGTCTCAAACTATTTGTGCTTTATTTATTTTACAGGTTCTTCAGAGGCTGATAAAGTCTCGAGGAAAGTCCCAAAGCAAGCACCTCAATGTCCAGATGATGGCCGGAGACAAGCTGGCTCAGTGTCCTCCTGTATGTTTTTCTCTTTTAGTCTTTGTATCAGTGTAATTGTTAGTTTGTGTTACTTAAAAGGGGACAGAAAATATTAGTAAGCAAATGGTCAAATGTAAACGACTTAGCCAGCAGGCTATAGTTTCCATTAGCAATCCCCATCCCTGCTGTGAAAAATAATTCAATAAGTGACGAATGGAATGAAAACTGAGGATGGAGATTTTTATGAATTGTAGCCTTTGTTTCTTTGGCCTGCAGGAGATGTTTGATGTGATCCTGGATGAGAATCAGCTTGAGGAGGCATGCGACCACCTTGCAGAGTACCTAGAAATTTACTGGAGAGCTACACATCTTCCATGCTCTGCCCCAGTTAATGCTTTACAAGACCAAAATCTAGTCACCCCACCTTCAGCTAACTCCAGTCAGCAGGTACAGAAGGACAACCAAGCAACCGTTTATACTCACTTTATGGTCTTATTTATAAATTTCATCTTCTCTTTTTTGTGTCCAAAATAGTTTTCAGAGACTCAAGAGTTGATAGAATGATCCCAGCCCCAGATGTAGGTGAGCAGATTTTTTTTGTTGTTGTTTATTTCTTTGAAGCATATCTGTATTGTCAATGAGAAGTAGAGCAATGACTGTTTTTCAACAACACAGAAGCTTTGATTAGAAAATCTTAATTAAAATTGTTGATTCATTTTTGTTATATGCAAGACAACATGCTCTGTAACTGTCAGTGTTTATAAGCATGTTATAGTTAATCCCCATTTTCTGCTCCATGAAAGCCTCCATGTTAGCAGTGCATAAATTTGATGCTTTCTTTCTTGGAAAAAACTTAGCTTTTGTAACAAAGTGACAAAATCCACTAACTTTCTTTGTGGCTGTATACATGTCCTTGAAAAAACGCAAACAAACACATGATCTGATCAATCTCTATCTCATACGTCCTTTCAGGTTTGTGCTGCAGGTAAAAGTAAAATAGTCCAGACCTTTGTCGACAATAGCTTTTTAAGAAACGTAAGGTGTTCAATCATCCTTCTGTCTTCACCAAAGAGAGCAGGAGACAGAAAGTGTGCGTTCCTCCATAATGAAAATAAATTCCATGAACTTTGAGGAAGGTAGAAGTCGTTTTCCTAGTGGGTGAAGATGTGGTAGAGGGGAGACAATAGCACAGATCCTTTACTTTCTCCAAAAGGGATGGAGGTCTGGCCATGTAAGAAGGGAGCGCTTCTAATATAAATATCTTAAATCCAGAATGAAATCCAACAGATTGAAAATATGATAAAGTAGCAGATTTTATGATCAGAAATAAACATTTTGAGATAGGAGTTGTTTTTCATTTGTGCACGTTTAACTAAAACTGCTTTGCATTGAAATACTTATGGTCTTTATCTAAGCTAATGTCTTTAGGAGTTATTCACTGCAGGTTAGATATTGCATATTAATCGCCCTTCCACAAAACCCTGCTAAGAAGTAAACATTTGTATTTACATGCCTTTCATCTTGATCCTCATATATTAGAAAATAATGTCTCGGTTGCAGAAGCTACTTGATGAAATATTTGGTTCAGATATTTGACCTAAAACTTTCCCTTTGCTTAGATTTACTGTAATAAATAAGACAAGATGTAACAACTATTGTTCTAGTTTAGAATTTATTTAATTTAGTAAAATATTAGTCATTCAAAGTTATGAAGTGACAGAATGAAGATTATAAATTATTACTAAACAGAAATCTGTGAATGTTCCCTTTTCTGCAGGAGCAGCCTGTGCGATCAGCAGCAGTCAGAATAGTCAAGACACAAACAGCAGGGACCACCAGGGGGCAGCAGCGGTCCTCCTCTTGTTAAATCCAGTCACTACCTTCTGCACATCTTCTAAAGAGAAAGGAGCAGGGTCATTGTAATGATTAAAAGAGCAGAAGGCTGGTGAGCTGGGGGAGAAGAAGAAATAAACACAGGGAGGAAGATGAAGATGCAACCAACCGCAGCCTCACTGCTGCCCCAGGGGTTAGATATCCCTGCTCCCACACCATCAAGTGATAACTCAGGGTTTCTGCAGTGTCAAAAGCACTGGTCAGGAGACTGGTGGAACAGCACAGTCACTGTTCACCTTCTAACCACCAATCCTCCCATGTCAGCCTTCCTCCTATTAAGACACTAAAAATTGATCCGTAATTCATCTCTCACTGGAGATGCATCACACAAATAAAGGGTTAAAACATGTTAGTCCATGGTAAAGCTGGTAAAGAAAAGCTGTTAGCACAACGTCCATGTTTCCAGTGTAAGGCTCCTAGGGTTTAATGTCTGATACACCTTGCTTCCCTTTCTGGTGAGGAGGAGCAGAGAGTGACAGAAAATCAATTCTGTATGTCTTCCATGTCTGCAGCTTTAAGTGAGCTGTCATTTCAAATGTTAAACTCAAATCCTTCCTTAAAAGAACGATTGCTTCTGCCAGAGTCATTGCATGGACACACATTGAAAATGAGCAAATCTCATCATTCTCTTGTCTCTCACTTTTACTTCTGGTTTATCAAGTATTCTTCTTTCCATCTGTTTAAAATCAAAGCAGTCTATTAAATTAAACTATCTGTATCTCATATCTTGGCTGTCAGTATACGTATATAGCCTTATATAGCCTTTATGCAAATAATGTATAACAAGCACAGATAGTGCACAGTCCTTGACGCTGCTGGGAATTTAAGATTAATCTTATAAGTTTCTAAAAGAGAGTCCTCATAGTAAAAATGTGAAGCTGGTTGGAAGTAAATCCTTATCAGTTCACCTTCAACACAACAAAACACAGTCACAACTGGCCACAATTATCTTTTGACATAAAATGGTGTATCTACTCAAGTTATTCACACCTTTACCTGTCTGAAAGAAACAATGACGTACTTGCAAAGCTTTAAGAATCAATTAATCAAATCCTTATTTCTGACAGTCTTATATACACGGAAGCCCTTGCCGGGGGTGCATCTTAATGCAATATGACTCATCCCTTATGTTAGCATCCTGGAAGGGGTGCCAGGGCTTGGCCCTGGATTAGTGGTTATTGAGCAGGGCGTGTTTGTCCTGGAGAGTTGAATTAAACCCGTAGCTGTCACTCTTGGTGAAGCCCTCATTAACCCCACAATTCTCTGTGGGTGCTGCAAGCTGCCTACGGGATGGATTAAATGCAGAAGGCAAACTTGGTTGTAATGCACAAACAAATATTTTCCAGTCAGTTTCAGGAGCTGGCCTTACCTAACACGGTGCTGAGACCACCTTATGTTTTGATTAAGTTCGGAGGCAGGGTATGCACAAGGAGCTATTCTTTTTTCTTTTATTTAAAGTTTATTTGGTAAGGACAGACACACATCAACATAGACAAACTGAAAAAAACAGCAGTCCCTTGTTTGCATCATTGTTAAATAGCAGCAACAAATTTGCAGCACTTGTCGTGCTAAAAACACCTCCGGTTGTACCATTACAGGCAAAAAGAAAATTGACAATTCACTATAAGTTTATCGTAGTTTCATAATGTTATAGTTTGTCATAATTTTTTTTTTTATATATATATATAACATTCACTGAAGAACTGGAAAAGAAGGCTCATACTTCTACATAAATTACACCTAAAGCTAGAGTCCAAAAGTAAGACAAGCACAAATAAATATTTGAATATTATTTACGTATATAATTACTATCTGATACCTGGCATTGGATTGAGACATCATTTACAATATATTCATAGCATTTGTTCATAGGCTACATTTTACTAAAAAAAATTATTTTCAAATTTTAATGACTTAGTACCTAAACGTTTACATACCTTCCCATGAAAAAAATGTTAAATTTTAATATTTCTAAGGAATAAACTGTCCCAGACAAATTTAAGTACCTTTTTCATGAACAGTGAACAAAAATGCCTTTCAACTACGGAAGTCTGAGTAAACGTAACAGAAAACACATGATTCCAGAGATGCCTTTAGTTCAGGAGCTGCATCAGACTTTACTTTTTTTTACCTCTTTTATTTGTTATTATCATATCAATGTCAAAATTCAGGACTTCTTTTAATATTTTTATTTATTATTACTTTAAATTTATTTTTCTGGCAGCTGACTTTTTTTCTATTTTTGATGGAAAGATATGTAAACTTTCAAGCACAACTATATATATATATATATATATATATATATATATATATATATATATATATATATATATGGTTTTTTTTTAACCAACATTTCCATAATCTCCACTGATTTTAGAACAGAAGACATATTCTTTATTTCCACCTTATATGCACTTCTATGTTAAAACCATAAATGAACTGAAGCAATCACACTATCTTTAAATGCTACTATCAGTTATTACATCAGTCAAACACATCCTACAGCTATGACTGAAAAAGAAATGTAAAACTCACCCAATAACTTTTTCTTTGGCACATATGCGACTTAAAAGTTTATCAAAGAGGAGTTGTGTTATTTTGATTCAAGTGTTCAATCAAAATATGCAGATCTTAAAGAGTATGACTTCTGAAGACATATTCTTTAATCTCTTCCCTGGCTACATTTGCAAACTATGCAGTGGTACACTCTGCAGTCTGTCTCTAATTTCTCCTGATGGTATGTATAATATCTCATATGGTCCTTAACTTCCCACATCTCAGTAAAACAGCTTTGAAATGATAAAGAACCAATCTTAAGCTTAAAACATGTAAATACCCTATTGTATGTACATGAAATGATGTACTCCTGTTGCATTGGAAGGGCTGCAAGGATCATCCTCACATGAGAGAAATAACATAACCATTTAAATATGCATTAAGAAAAATAACCTGTACATACTGTATGTAACAATGTATGTAAGTAACAAATACCTGAGAAAAGTCGCAAAATCTGACTGATTAGTTTTTTTTTATTATTATTTTGTTTAATTTTTTTGATAGTACACTGCTCAAAAAGCATGGGTTTAAATGTGATGTCCTCTCTTTTTAAAATGCACTTTTTATCCAGGACCACTGGCAGAGATCGTTTTCATTGACACTGACATTCACTTCGGAATGTTAAAGGGGAGAATTTATAGCTTCCACCTGATGAAACACCAAGAGCACAGGACTTTTTTTTCTTTTCCTTTTTTTTATATATAAAACCTTAAATAAACCAGTTCCTTTTTTCTTTGACTTTTATTGTAGAATATTTCTATTGAAACGTAATGTTTTCCATGTCCAAAGCACAATGTTTTTATTATCATTTAATATTGGGTTTACTGGCCTAAATTCTGGATGCAATACAAGGTTTAGTATTGATGAGAAACAAGCTGGGACTATCAATATATTTCCTCAGTTTGGGTGGGGTATAATTGCACTATTATTGTTTACATGTATGCTTTTTGATGCAATAAATGCACTAAATTTATGCTGTACATACCTCCAGTTGTGGTAGCAACATTTCTTTTGCTTTCTGACAACAAGATCAGTGCTGTCCAACTCTGTTGGATGAAGAAATGTACTCTATGATCATCTGTTAACAGCACACGTGAAAGTGGGGGTTAATAAAAATGTTAAAAAGACTATATGTTGGTGTATGCATTAATTTCCACATGGTGACTCATATATCCACCAACAGGGGGCATGTTATTATAGGATTCCACAGGCTTGTGGGGCTGAAAAGTAGTCATAAGGAAACAAAAAAGGTAACAGTGAAAAAATTATTTGTCATGTTCCTGTCCTGTAGCACTTTTGCAAATGTGACCTGGTTTTATATTATAGTTATGGCCGTCTAAGTCTTGGCAACAACTATCAACCGGAAAAAGCTGGAATACTCCTCTGGGTTCAGGTTCAGTTTTTGCCTTAAGCAGGTAAGTTTATGTTTCTGGATGTTCTTGTCAATAGAAATCTTGAGCAATAACAAAATAGAGTAGTATATAGATCTACAGATTTAGTGTTCATCTGCAGTAAAGCAGTTGCTGCTCCAGACTGCTGTAATGAGTAAAGAGCAGAGACAGAAACCAAAGCTCTCAGTTTATAGTTCCACCTTTAACAATGGTCAGAAGCTATGGATAAGGACTAAAATAACACAATCCTAGATTCAGCTGGCCAAACAGAGCATCCTCCATATGATGAGAGGGCTCACCATTAGATAGAGTCATCTAGAGGAGGCTAGAGGTGAGGTTCTATAGCTTTATCCTGCCTGCTACTCTTCAGGCATGTCTGGAAGCGACTTAAAATCCCCAAGAATGAAGTGAAGAGAGGGATGTCTTAGTCTGGGATAGGTCAAACTGTCCGGATGAAGATAAAGCAATCCTACTCTATGAGATAACTTGCTGCAAATGTACAAATTGCACAGCTATGTGTTTACTGACAGGCTGTGGACTGAATGGTAAAGGATATAGAGAAAAAGTAAAATATCAAACACACCTGTTTATACTTCTGTTTGGTTTTTGGGACAGAATTAACTTAAAGAAATTGTTTTATAAGTCATAATGCTACAGTACAGTAGAAAAATATTTATATAATTACCTAATCCTAACTTAAGTCTGCAATTTCTTACACATTTTTTGATTTTTGTTTGTTTCCAGACTCAAATTTTCAAAGATCTCAACAGGATGGATGGATGGATGGATGGATGGATGGATGGATGGATGGATGGATGGATGGATGGATGGATGGATGGATGGATGGATGGATGGATGGATGGATGGATGGATGGATGGATGGATGGATGGATGGATGGATATATTTCATTTACTCACTGAAAATGTTTTGAAGTGTTTTAACAATGTGGAATACAAACCTGATATCAAGATCTGAACTTTAAACCTCACTGTCTCTCTGCAGCTGTTCTTTCTGACTGCAACAATTTTTCTCCCTCACAGTCCAAAAACAAGCCTGTTAGGTTAATAGGAGATTTTAGAACTGACCTTGCGAGTGATTGTTTTTGTGCAGGGTTGAGTTCATTTGCCATGGACTAGCAATCTGTGCGGGTCACTTTGGAAGGTGTCACTTTATGCCTGATTATTATTCACAGCCACCTGTCTCTCTGTCCCATCAGAGGGTGCTACCACATGTATTTATGCTGCAGTAAGTTTACTGGGGTCAGAAAGAGTTCACTGATTATATGTTTTACTTTATACTTTTTCCATCACCCTCTAGGCAGTTATAAAACAAAAGAGCCGATGGTTTGCCATAACATACTGATGTCTGAATAGAGCGTGTTTAATATTTTTGATAAAAATAAGGAAACTAGAATTACAGTAGCAGATTGTTGTTTCCATTTAATTCAAGAGAGAAAACAAAATGTTTCAACTTCCTATACAGCTATGTGTAATTTCTAAATCATTAATGAAATTAGAGAACAAGTAGCTTGGATGAAACTGATTTGCAGCCTTATTATGCTTTTCTTTTTAATTTCCCCTCAGTTTTAGGAGCAACAACAGGGACAGAAAAAGATCTCAGCTCCAGGAAACTGATGATAGGAAATCTTTGTGAGTAAAAGCAAATTGCTTCTTCCCACAGGGACAAAACAGCAATAAGTATCACTTTCATCTGTATGTAAATTATATGGGGGACTGCCAGACATCAGGAAGGGCAGCTAATTGATTTGATCTTTTTATCTATACAACAACACATTGCTTCAATACAGAAAACCTTCAGGGTGTCAAACTCTGTGGATGTGCCTTAGTGTGAGAACATTCAACACTTTGGGACATTGTTGACTGATATCAAAGGGGTTTCACACCAAACTCCATTCTCTATAACATAAGGGCCGAAAGTCAAAGCCTGTGAAAAAGACAAAGTCCAGCAGGGGAAACTGAAAATTATCCACAATGACACAAGGCATCTAAGCAAGATTATCAAAAATTCAAAAAACAATGGTAGATTTTCAATCATTCCTTCTAGCGCTATTGCGGAAGAAAAGTAGTTGCTATCACTAAGAAAAGGGCTAGCTGGGCTTAATGTGAAAACTGAACCAATTATCCCTTAGTTGATTGGTCTGTCAAGCCCACTAGCTTCATATGCGCTATCTGATCGATCTAGCCACTTAAGTCATTAAAACCAATCAGTTTAGAACAGCCCAAGTGACAGATTACAGCCGTGCCTGTCCGTGGTCATCTCATCAATGTGTCCTAAGCCAATGTTTGCAAAGAGAGGATGACTTGATTGACGGTAGTCCAACCAAATATTTAGAACTTGACTGTTTCAAGTAGTTTCACTTGTCTTGGCTAAGCAGGGTTTGGGTGTGAACAACATCTCTTAGCTACAGTTTGCTGGCTGGCAAAGTTTTCTTTTCACCTTATTAGGACTGATTTTCTCTCTTTCTCAGTTGTATTTTATTGCTTAATCACTCAGCATTTGCTTTTTTGTTGTTTTTCCCCCTCCTTTACATGGTAGTCAAAGCAGGCGAGTGAAACGATATCAATAATGTAATCTTATCATATCAGATGTCAGACATGCTGGTATGCTAAGCTAAAGCTGGATACTCACTTGCTTTGTTGTTCTAAACAAAACGTTTTTTAACCCGTCAGGTGAGAATTTTTTATCTTTATAAAGTTGATATATTAATTCAGTATAAACCAACTGTTGTAACAGTTAAAGAGAAAAAGAAAACATGACTGAACCTGAGATAATAAGACCGAATGTTGCGATGATTCCTAATCAGATTGTTTAGATAGGATAAGGTACCCAAAAGTAACATGAAGTTTTTCTAGAATTACAAAACAAAATAGCCAATGGTTTGCCATAATATACCGATGTCTGAATAGAGTGTGCTTAATATTTTTGATAAAAATAAGGAAACTACAACTTACAGTAGCAGATTGTTATTTCCATTTAGGCTACTTCAAAAGAGAAATGTTTAAACTTTCTGTACAGCTATGTGTAAAGATGAGTTTGTTTTTTTTAATCATGAATGAGATTACAGAACAAGTAGCGTGGATGAAACTGATTTGCAGCCTTATTATGCTTTTCTTTTTAATTTCCCCTCATTTTTAGGAGCAACAACAGGGACAGAAAAAGGTCTCAGCTCAAGAAAACTGATAATAGGAAATCTAGAATTTGACATTCTTAGACTAGAAATGAAGGCGAAAAATATTATTCATTGAAACCAATTATATTGATTTGTTTTTGTTTTGTTTGTTTTTTGGAAAAAGAACACAGTTGTATTTTTGGCACACATAGTTTCCAGTCTTTCACTCTGCATAAAACTCTAGTTTTCTTGAAGTACAGGTGATTTAAAGATGACAGAAATCCAACATGCATCATACTTCTACTAGGACAGGTTAAAGATGCACAAAAAATTATCTACTCCACGTGCAGGAAATGTATTGATGAAAACCTTTTGCATACCCGGTATTTTTACTTTAAAAAGTCATTTTTATTGTTATCACCTTTTATTTTGCATTATATTTACATTTGTAAACAATTATGTTTAATCAGCATTTAGACATTTCTTTATGGTTAATATTGAAAATAATTAAAATAATACATTTTAATGCTTATATTTCCTAGCTAGAAGATGACATTTTCTAAAGTAGGTAGCATAATACAAAATTCAGCATTTTTGATAAATTTTATGAAGACTATGATGCACTTCTGAATAATGTGAATGTTTGTTTTCCTCCTCACATTATCACTGAGCGCAGAGAAGTGAGTCTGCAGAGGGGTGGGATCCTATTGGCTGCTGCTCGCCCGTATAAAGAGCCGCAGTGGCAAATTCAATCAGATCAACTGCGGGCATCCTCCAACAAACACAAGCTGCGACGCACTTTCACACTGGGACCGTATCTGGGCTGCTCCTTTGCTTGTTCTTTTGTTTCATTTTTTTTGTTTGTTTTTTTGCTATTTATTTCTGGGTGGAGACAACTCTGGAGTGCGCCTGTAATCATGAAGGAAAGGAGAAATACGCAGCCGCTGGTGGTGAGATGTAAACTGGTTCTTGTGGGAGATGTTCAATGCGGAAAAACGGCAATGTTACAAGTGCTGGCCAAGGACTGCTATCCAGAGGTATATCTGATCTAATGTGACAAATTGTTAAAGCACTTACTGGGATTTATCCACAATAATATATTTTTTATGTATTTCATTAGAAATCTAGATGTTTTAGAATATCTATGTTTAGAATATCTAGTGCGCCGGTGCAGGCGGTGACGGAGCGCGTGCGCATTTACTGAGACTGGGCTTATTTTATGCTCACTCACTAATTTCAGATCCCATGGGAAGCTTTATATCGAATCCAAATGGGTGTTAATCCACTTGATAAGCTTTTTAAACTGGATGCTGATCAAAGAAAAAATAATCAGTTCTGCTTTTTTATATATTCTCTTTGAAATTGCATTAAGTAAAATCTCCAGTGGTTTTAGTGAAGTCTCTGGCACCTTCCTAATTTTATCCTGTTGCTTATTATTTCCCAGACATATGTGCCAACGGTGTTTGAAAACTACACAGCCTGTCTTGAGCTGGAGGAGCAGCGTGTGGAGCTGAGTCTGTGGGACACATCAGGTACCTGTTTGCCTTCTCTTTAGTGATCTCTGACCTACAGATCTGCCTGCAACACAGGTGTCAAGTAACGAAGTACAAATACTTTGTAACTGTACTTAGGTAAATTTTTTAGATACTCCATTACTTATTTTTCTTCCTACTTCTGACTTCTACTCATTACATTTTCACACAAGTATCTGTACCTTCTATTCCTTACATTTTAAAACAAATGTTACTCTTTACTCTTGGCTTCGGTTTAATGTTCATAAATATTTATTTCATGTCATGTGCGCCATCCAATGCAGATCATTGGCTCGATCCACATCTAGTAAACACTAGTGTAATTGGATGAATCAAATAATGCAAACACTCATCGGGTTGCAAAAGGAAATCATCAGAAGCAAACACGAATTGTCTATGCCGTGCTACAATGTCGGATTCAGAAAAAGATGTCGAAATGTCTGAAAGGTCGGACGCAGGTGAAAGCATATCGGGAGATTGAGACCAACAAGACCTCCCTCATCCTTGGCCCTATCTCCAAGAATTTTTCGAAATAGTCGTAAAATTGAGCTTTCAATTCATATAGTGGCATCTGGCTGTTTTTTCTAAAGGTTACTTTATACTTTTATACTTTAAGTAGTTTTTGGAGCAAATACTTTTTCACTTTTACTTGAGTAAAGTGTTCAAGTTGATACTTCAACTTTTTGCGGAGTGTTTTTAAACTACAGTATCTATACTTCTACTTAAGTAACAAATGTATGTACTTGTGACACCACTGGCCTGCAAAGGGATGTGCAACACAGCAACTAATGTTTATAATAGGCTCCCATCACAGCAAAACCTCAGCACATCTTTGAAGTCATGCAATGTTTGAAATAAAGGAGATAGAAATTTGTGTTACTGTCAAACCCAACAGCTTTCAAATTGTTTGTTGCAAAATGATCAATACATGTTTTTCTTAAAGTTATTAAAAATAAATATCTAAAAAGTTTGGAAAACATATAATTTTTTTTTAACTGTGATACACCTAAACAAAATCCATTGCAGCTTTCATAGTTCACCCAAAGCTGTTGAAAAAAAAAAAAAACTTTAAATCAAGTCACAAATCGACACTGCATCACACTGATGACATCACCAAATTAAACTCAACTCAAAAATGTTCTTCTGCTGCATTATTGCACCATATATAGGTTTGTGCTTGCACTCCTCTTAACTTCCACATCAATGCCTTTTGCACCATGTTTTTTTCCCCACACTGTTTACATTTGATCACTTCTGGACTTTGTGAAATGAAAATGTTAATTTAACCTCTAAGCTGCTCATTCACTGTCTAAAAGCTGTATAAAACAAAAATTTGTTTTGTGTACATTATGTGTATACAAAATGACGATACATGTGTGTAAGTCTAAATCTAAGTCGTTTAGGAAATTAATTTGATGAACATAACTAGCTTTTCACTTCACACGTCTGACCGGCAAGAAAAAAACAGTATTAAGATTAGCTGATGCTCAATGCTGTGTGTGACAGAACAATGCACATCTACCTAGATATGCTAGCCAGCTCACACATGTGTTGAATTATGCTGTGGAGACACTTGTCTTCAGCAGTTAAACAGAAGCTGATCAAACCGGACTGAAAATAGAGTCAAACAATAATTTTTTACTCCTACTATTTTCCGAAATTCCCTGTGACTTTTTTGTTTTCTTTTGAAAAACAATCCCTTCAAATTGCAAACTGGATGATATCATTTTCATTCGTCTCCATTATTATACAGTTTCGTCTGGTATATCTGAAACTTCATTGAAGCCCTGAAGTTTGAGGTGCTAATGTGATAAAATGTGAAAAACAGTCAAAGGACCATAGTTAACTTTGTCTCACGTCATGCCTTGCGTTGATGTAAAGGCACACCAATTGTCTCCCTGACCTTGTTTTTTAATAGACTGACAGATTTACAAGCACTCTTCATGTAGCGGATGAGAAATAATGATTATTCCAGTTCAACTGCTTTTAATGGGGGTTTTGGGCATCATATGTTCATTTACACAACAAGCATGAAAAAGAGGGTCAATGTGTCTTTGTAAATCTCCCTAGAGATCTGCTACTCAGTGTGTTGACCTGAATTCTGTGAACATGGGTCTGCAGCACCTGTTAGAGTCTGACTCCCCTTCTGCTCGCTGCTCTACACTTTCACTGTTCGGTGTTCATCTCTCACGGCCCGTGGTCACTTCTGCAACATTACTGGGTCAATGTGACGGAGCAAATCCCATGACTGCAAACATGTTTATGTTTGCGTTTGCATGTCATTTGCATTGGTGTAGGAAAAAGAAAATATATAAAACACTCACTTGTACAAGCTTTATTTTTACTCTCTCGCAATGAAAATAGAAAATAAATTAATAAATAAACAGTGAGGAAAAAAAAAAGATCTGGGGCAGAGTAATTCCCGTCACAGACCAAATGCCATCTTTTAATCCCAGACTGTGGACCTTTGGTCTGTGCAATAGGAGTGGGCCTGGTGCCCGGGGATAAAGGGCCCAAGAGAGGCTTCCAATTGAGCTGGGCGGTGCTCTGGAGCAGACAGAGAGGAGGGAAGGGAGAAAGTGTGGTGACCTGCATTCTCCCCCATATGCTGCTTGGGTTACTTACTCAAACAGTACCAAACAGGGGATTAAGACTCTGAGTTGGACATAAGCTTTTAACTGACCCAAACTTACATACATAAGTATAGATAGATTTACACAGCAAGGTTTCATTCATGCTATTCAGACGTCAAATTTGACTACCATGTGTTTCATAAATCAGGATTCAACCTAAAGCTGATGTTGCTTTCCAATTCTCGATTCTTAATAAATCATTTGCATTTATAGTGCTTTGTATTCTAGCTTCTAAACCAGACTGGCTGGCTTGGTGAGTGTTATTGAGCTACATTCAGTTCAAAATGTTGAACTCAATTTCTGATGTAAAAAACCAAAGATAAATTATGTATTTAAAATATTAATAGATTGAGAAATGCACAATGATTATTTATATGGAGGGGGGGGGGGGGGGGGGTATTCTATTCCCTTTACTTATCTAGACTTTGAATTATCTATGCATATTCCAGGATTTTCACCTTACAAAGCCTTTAGCAAATGAAGACAAATCTAACTTTAACAACAGAAATAATCTTTACAGTATAATGATGAACACTTTTTTTTTTTTAAGTAATATGCTCTAATTGCATGGACTTTGTGCTGCTATGGCCCCTCCACAGTAAGAGCATCTCCTCATTATCCCAGCTCCCCTTCATTGATTAGGCCGACCTCATCACTGGCCCCACGCGGCAGGCAGCTCCTTCTCTCAGCTTCGGCATGGATTTACAGGCTAAAATCAATCCTCTGGTTTTAATCAGCCTGATATGATCAGACGTACAGAGAGAAAAGAGGAGGAGGGGAAACAAACACTGTCCACTGGCTATAACTGATGAATATTTAATAATGAATCTCATTATTGGTGGTGTTAGTAACTAATTTATTTCAGGTTCAGCGATCCTGCTGATTAGGCTTTTGAGTGGTTGAGAACTGGGTGTAATCTAATCACTTCCTGTATTATATGAAATTAAGAGTGATGCTCTCAATTTAAACTATTATTTCCACTGTAATTCATTGTACCTTGAGCAGAAAAGTTATTTCTAAAGACTGTTTAGCTTGTATTATTATTTTCATTATCCAGTGTATTTTGCCTGTCAGAGATCAGTAGTGACGGATCCATTAGGAAAACCCAAATATCCATTTCTAAATCAGCAATATCCAACTTGTTCTGGAGGATCTCAAGGTGTTGCCGGGCCCAAAGCAATACTATGGTCCATTCAGCAGGTTTTAGGTCTTTTCTAAGAGAGATGAACCATGAAAGTCTCCAAATGGAAACACCGGGAAGCATTCTGATCAAATATCTGAACCACCTCAGCTGACCCTTTCTGAACCCTTTTTGAGTTCAAATTTATTTGATCCCTCTCGATCTGGGAAAGCACTTTACCTCAGACATAAAAGGGATGACTCTAAGAGTGGATATTGAACCCTTTAGTAAAGACAGATCCCCATCATCTGCACAAATCAGGGATAAAAGGCATCCTCTATCCCTAGGAATAGGCCTTGGACAAAAGATATTTGTTTTGCTTGTTTGCATCTTGTAAACTTATAGCATAAAAGTAATTCTTTAGAAACACACAATCTATTTTTAGTTAATTTATTCTAATTCAGTTCATTCATAGACAATTCACAACACGTCATCTCAAGAGAATATTAAACCTGATCATACAGACAGATTGGTTAGTTTTCTGTCTAAGCTGATTGCATTGATTTGTTTAATCAACAGCAATCCCTCCCCTTGTACGTGAACACTAAAACACTCTCCATATTCTTCATCTCATTAATTTTGATCTTGTGAAAGACGAGCTCCAGTTGGTCGGATTTGATAAGTATGGCAGAAAAAGCATTTTACCGGCCCCTTTTATGCAGGTTGGGATCAGCAATGTAAATTGCAAATGTTTCTTAAAAAAGCATTTTATAAAACACAACTAGGGCCACAAATAACAATTATTTTGCAAATCAATTAATCTGTCGATTATGTCTTTGATTACTCGATTAATAATCGTACAGACAAATGATCCTTAAAGAAGAAGAAAACAAGACATTATGACAGTATTAAACCAGGTGAAACTAACATTTCCCACTTGAGGAATTTTTTTTGTTGTTTTTTTGTGGGGTTTTCTGTCTGCGTATTCCGGTTAACAATTTATTAATTACTAAATTAGATGACGATTATTTCAATAATCGATAAACTCAATTATTTGTTTCAGCCCTAAACACAACAAAAACATAAAATATGGTATACCTTGTTTTATGGGCAGATTTTAATTAAGATATTAAGTAAAGTTTAAAAAATATTTTTATGGCTCATAAATAAACTTTCCAATATACAGAAATGTATAGTTTTATTTTAAAGGTGCAGATATCCAACATTTTAGTCTACTTGTCTAAAGG